TATTCATTGAAATATGAAGTTATAGTGATGCTATAAAAATTATGCGAAATATTTTATCTCATTATTATATCATCTAGTAAAAAATTTTCACATTTAATAACAAAAAATCCCTTTTTATTTAAAAGGTTCTGAATAAACTAGAAATTTTTTGTCGTGATATCATACAAAATGTATATTTCATTTGTAAGGCGTATGTATTATATGGTCGCGTAAAAAAAGTGCGGTAGTTTCATCTTGTTAAGAAAAGATTGCAGAAAAAGTGGCGTATTTATGTCCCGTGAGCTTCGTCGTGCTATGATAAAAAGTTAAGAGAAAATGAGAGTGTAAGGTCGCCTAGTAATCGACTTTTATAACAGTAGACACTAAAATAAATTTTATAAATTCGATTTTTGATCACTAAATTCCATATATGAATTATATTTTATCACATTTTTTTATCTATGTGCTTAATACAACCAATTTATTATTATTGAAAATGAAATTGTGGAGGCAGAATCGCCAATTGCTGATATAATAGTTGAGCGAATTTAGGTCTCTATTATTTTTATGCACGCTTGAATAGACATGAAAAATTCAGAGCAAAGAGAATTTTGAGTACTAAATATATTTATGTATGTCAAAAGTTTATTCCTAGCACTAGATGGAGAATTTTAAAAATCGATAATCCTTGAGCTGTTTGAAATCGCTAATATTATTCCGGGAGTTTGCTTAAGCTGAGCTTTATGAATAAGTGAAGAACTTTTAATTAATTGATGTAATGAAGTAAAAAGTTTTATGGATTACTATTTAACGAATTCAGTTTTTGAATAAATAAAATTATTGATAGATATATTTATTTTAAGAATTTTTGTCTCTTGGTTCAAGATAGACGATAACATTGATTCAAGATGTTACCGACCTGTGTTAAGGATGGCTTTTTTTTGAGTCATTAATTTACTTATTTCCAAGAAATAATTTTCATTAGGTATAACAATTAAAGACTATTTAGTTTTTGAAATATACTTTGATGAATTATTTTAAGTTTTTTAAACGATAATGTTATTTTGATTGAAAAACTTAAATGTATCGATTGAAGATAATATAGCTCTTAAGCCAAGAAAATCTAAATCAAGACAAGAAATTCTTAAAGCAAAATAATCATTTGTCTTCCAAAATAAATTCTTAGATCACGAAAATATCTCTTGAGTCAACATAAATTTTTTATCAGTGTAGGAATTCAAACTGCGCGCTCTAACTCTGAACCAATAAGGAATCAAGGTCAATGTTTTCGAGTTATTTCGATACTAAACTAACTTCAATCAACCATCAATTTTAATACTATTAATTGTTAAAATTATATCTGATCTAGGCACTTCTGGTCCTGGTTAACCACAATCCTAGATTTAAAAAAAATAAAAAAAGGAAAATGTAACTCTGCATATATGTAGTCATAATTCATAATTCATCATTGTATGATATTCTTTTCTAATTACTATAGCTACTAAGTATCTAATAATTATAATAATCACTCTAATATTGAAATTTAGTCTATATAGAGCCAAATATTAATTCAAGTATCAAACACTGTCAAAATTTTCAACTTTGTAAAATTAAGTAGCCCTGTCATTGGTCCTTTGGGCTGTTGGGCTTATGTAATGGAAAATAAATAAATAAAATACATAGGATAATAATAATAATAATAAAATTATTGTCATGATGACAAATAACATTTTTCATTTAATTTTTTTTCTACTTACAAAATAACAATAAGCGACAAAAGTAGATAAAAGTAAGAAGATAATGAGGATTTTTAACAAGTATACAAAATGAGATGAAATTTTTTTCATGTAATTTTCTTCTCATCTCAGTCTGATGCCGTTGTCTGAATCCTTGGCGGCGCCAGAACGCAGTTTACTACTTATTCTAGAAAGATCGATTGATTCTCTCGAGTCAATTTGTAGAACCTCGACAAGTCTTGTCTTGGTCTAAAAACAACTACGAACTCTTCTTCTTCTTTATCTTTTTATTCTTCTTCTTCTTCTTCTTCTTCTTCTTCTTCTTCTTCTGCTTCACTGTCTTTATCTTCATCTTCTTTCGTACCATAGAAAGCACCATCGCTTAATATCCAATCACCCCGATTTAATCACGGGCTCAGAACAACCATTTGAAAGTCAGCCCACAAATAATGTTTCTCATTACTCATTGCTCATAAAAAAAAAATTCCCAAAAAGTTAAACAACATCTCTTGTCTTGAGAATTTTATTTAATTTTAATTTGTTATTGATTAGTTAGCAACTTCCTAAATATCATAAAATTTAATCAAGCTTAATGAATTCAGCAAACAACATCATTGTTAGTGTAATTTAAATTTCTAAGCATATTTTACAGCACATTATTCAAAAGTAAATCAATGATGTTACGATGAAAATTGTATTCAAAAAATTAGCATAAAATAATATTACAAGTGAATAACTTTGTAATAAGAAATTTATATGACTGTAAATTTTGAGTAAATAATATTTCTGAAAACATTGAACGGCGTTGTTTTAATATCAAGTACTCGTAGTTAATTTCAAAAGCTACTCTAGCATCACTCTCGTTCCTTTAATCAACATAAAACTCATCTCAATTCTAGCGTAATGACTTTAATGAGATCGACTTTAATTATATACAACTGTAGCTATATATATATATAATTTATGATGAAACAAACTTGCGTGTATTCATAACCAAACTTTCTCAATATACATTATTATATCGATGCTTTTGCTTCTAACCGCAAGTACAAAATAATAACTATATTTTTACCCAAAAAACTAGACAAGTAAAACAGAAAGCCTCAAAGTATATTGCGGGAAATTTTATTAAAATACATAAACAATGGCACGGTGAATTTTTCATTTTGTCTATCTTTTATCTTCAGCTCGTTAAAGTACTTTTTTAAACTGATAAATAAACTTGTCCATATATATTCACGTGTTTATACATAAGACTTTAGTATACTGGTTTGAAAGAGGGAGACAAAAATAGCGCTCACGTATAAGCGAGAAAGAACTAAACTAACCGCGGATTTTGAGACAAGCACAAAGGTAGACAGCAGTGCAGAGTGTATGCCATAGCAAGGGTGAGCTCATTTCAGGCAAACAATCCACGTCGGTGTCGTTTCGGTTGAAAATGCAGATATATACGGGTGACGTGTACGCGATGAGAAGAGGGTAGAATCCTTCTACTTTCCACTTGCCAAAGTCTTCACTCGGCGGAGTTGAGCTGCTCAATAATCTCAAACATAAACGGTTCACACACCAAAAGATTCATTCAAATGCTCGAGCATATCATTACCAAAGCAAACATACAAAGAATCTTTTTATTGGACTTTTTTAATTTATTGTATTTAATAAACGGTTGTTTATTTTTAAGACATGGAAAAAATAAATATTTACTTGAGCATACTGATTGAGAAAAGAGGTTTTTGTGTTTTTGCGCAATGAACAAAAAATGTTTAGCAAAATAATTAAAATTAAGATTTCTTTTTGGAGAATTTCATTTTGTCTTTAATTGATCAGAAAAGTTCTTAAACTCAACCACTGTGTTTAGATCAAGTACATTTTACTTTATTTACCTATTGATTATATATTTTTTGTATTCAAGATCTAGAATTGACTTTAATCAATCAAAATTTTTAATAAATAACTCATAGTGATCATAAATTTTGAAAACTTTTTCAATGAAAGTAAAAATATTGTCATTTTCAAATATATGTATTCATACACGGAAAAAAGTAAACTGTAATATTCACTCGGATTCCGGTTAGTTTTTATAGTTTCAAACAGTAAAGCGGACATCGGGGTGGCAAAAATGTAAATATTACAGAACTTAATGTAGAAAGTATAAAAGCCACAATTTATAATTTAATATCCAAAATAAGTGATTAGTAGTTGTCACTAGTAAATAACGACTCTTTCATCTTTAAAAATTACAGTTTCAAACAGTAAAAATTGCCATTTCAATATATAGTCCATATTATGAAGAAAAGGGGAACTCAGATGAAAGAGAAGGGGAAGGGGGTCTCACTCTGGGAGAATTTAACATTTCAAACAGTAAAAATTATACTTTTAAAATATACATTTTACCAGTCTAAGCAAGTCAATAATTACAGTTTGATTTTTAGCGTTTCGTTTAAAATTTACCATTTTACTTTGTTAATATTGACGTTGCTTGTATTAGAAATTTACTAACTTTATTTTATATATAGTTCAAGTGTCAAAGATATTTATACAAATCATTATTGCTTCTCACTATCCAAGTGATTAATGTTATATTGCTCCATTCATAGTTACTTTTTTAAAATCCTACCAAACTTTGTTTCTCCGAAATCGAACCTCTTCTAGCTAATCCTAATAGCAATAACATCTAACGTTCTGAGACTACCTCAATTCAAGTCCCGGTGTGTAAACTATTCCGCCTTATGTCCTTGGTGTATATGTTATCTCTTACTGTAAAGTTTACCACTGGAACATTACCAGTGTAAGTGACCTTAATGACCTTAATTCAAGTTTAGTTAGCCAAGTAACGAGCTGGAGTGGTCCCTCCAAACGAGAGTTCTCCATCTGCCGGGGCAGTTTATCGTGGGACGTGGATTCTATTACTATACTCGGTTTGCAAAGTCCTTTGGGTCAGAGACTGAAATAAAAGGTGTCGGCAGATCCAGACGAACAAAGAAAAAGAGCACCCGGGATGGGATAAAAGGATCAACCAGGAAAGGAGAGTAATGCAATGAGCGGCTCGAAGATACGACAGTGACAGAGACGCGAATAAATGTCGGGTTATGCATACCAATAAGACCCGGTAGACATAAGTCCGCTCGTCTTCTCGTTAATGTACCAGCAAGTTTGTTCACTTTGTTTCTACCTGGATAGCTCTGGCTCTGACTCTGGCTCAGATTATTCGCTTTATTCCAGATTATTAGAGGGCACCGTCACTCGCTTTTTAGTTTACTAGCAGTCTAGCTTATGTACTATACTATGCTATACAGGAGGTACAGTAATATTAGAGTAATTAACCGAGCAGAGAGACAGAAACCTCTACCGTCGGCTCACAAAGGGGTTCAATTTCTGGGAGTTTGTTTACACCTGCAAATGAACCAAGATATCCGGTCACACTCATGTCCTTTATGCTTTCCATTTCTCGTCCTTCTCGTTTACCCTTCTCGTGTTTCTAATCTAATGACAATGACTAATGACGTACAACCGGAGCTTGGAGGCTCCAATCGACATTATAGACGATTCCAGCTCCAATTTCTGCGTGTTAGCGTACAGTTTATAATAATTGTAATTGTTATTGTTTTGCTCCAGGTGATACTGATGCCGCACAGCCATACTGATCCCGGGTGGCTTAAAACTTTCGAACAATATTTTCATAGTTCGACACGCGGTATCCTCAACAACATGGTTACCAAGTTACAGCAGTGGCCCAATATGACGTTCATTTGGAGTGAGGTTTCATTTCTATCATTATGGTGGGAGAGGTAAGCAAAGAAATAAAAAAATTTTGTTATTAGATCACGGAAAAAAAAGAGAGAGTAATAATTGACAGTTTAATTTTGTGTTGTACGTTTTATATTTTACATACAAAATGTTACAATTTACAATATATTATTTATTTTGTGATTTGTCATTTGAAATTTTACATTTTCTGGCAATATGATCATTTTTATAGTTTCAAAAAAAATATATTTTTCATTATTCAAGGACGATAATATTTTTTGTATTTTATAATGTTTGATTTTAATTTTTAGACTGTAAAATCCTCTAAATAAAAATACATGAAAGTCTTAAAGTTCGTCATAGCCTGAAATTTGCAAAAAAACGGGCCATGATTCATGATTTCTATTTTAATTCCTATATTGCAACAAATTTGTTTTTTTAATGTATGTTTTTTAACTTTTATAATTTTTAATATGACAGACTTGTTTTTACATTTTATACTCTGTAATGATTTCGCTTTTATTCTTTCCGTGAATAAATCGATAGAAATAATATATGAGAGATATTTTCGTTACCATATTAAAAATGAACAACTTTTACATTTATGCGCTGCCATTATATATCCAAGTAAAGATTGAAATTTTTAAATCTACACTGGAAAAAAAAATTCTTGACTGGAGTGTAAATTTTCATGGCTCAAGAAAATATTAAGGAAGATTAAATATTTCTTGAATGAAGTCATAGTTTCTTGAACCAAGAAAATTTTCTTGAGTCAAGAAAATTTCTTCTTGCTCCTAAATAAGTTTTGTCTTCCTTAAAATTTTCTTGGCGCAAGAAATTTGTTTTTTCTGTATACGATTTATATTGCAACGAAATATTTAATTTTTATAATGAATTAATATACTTAAAACGTGCCAGATATTTTCGCTATTTTACATTAAAAATCAGTAATTTCTAAATTTATGCGCTTCCATCATTTCGAATTTGAGGTTAATATATTTAACATTTCTATCAAATAAAATTAGATTGGCTATACTTGTCGAACGACTCATATTCGAGGTTCTCGAATTTTTAATGAAATCATTTGAATTTTAATAATGCGCGTCGTAGAAGTTAATCACATATTCTGGAAAAGATAAAATAAAAAAAAAGAAATGAATTATGAAGCTTCGAGTATATAACTTGACGTCTATCGATGGTTTAAGAGATCAAATATAAAATGTCTGGTGAAAATATTTTCAATTAACATCATTTAGCTTGAATGTCTTCTGACTGCTTTTAAAATTAAAAATAAAATTTAGCAGCGAGAAAAAATTGTTAGTGATAGAGCGAACATTTATAAAAATAACACTAATATTTTTAGTGTCGAATAAAAAACTTCCATGCAAGAAATTAAATTATAGATTTTTAATTAATGATTTAATTTCCTAGGAGTCTTACGGTTTTTACTCGTGAGTTTATCATAAATTATGACCATTACGAAAAAATTATTTGAAGCCGGTTTATTGACTATAAATATTTCAATAAAAGTGATGAAACGTGTAAAATATTTTTTATTTACGAAAATAGATCTTGAAAAGCAATATAAAAAAAGATAAGAGCTCAATGTTTTACGGTTAAGTTGAATTTATCGTTTAGTTACATCCCCGAGTCTTGGAAGCTCCATAAAGCAACTAAGATTGTCGTGAAGTGAGCTATTAAGAGAATTTGAAGCGTGAAACATGTTGAAGAGTTGCTATGTTGGTAAACTGTACACGCGGTTTTTTATTAATCGAGGCGTAGTCAAAAATTACAAATATTTGAAAAAGAAATATTTAAATTAAATAGTCCAATTATTTTTATTGTTATTTATAAAATTGCATAACTGCAATGCCCTGCCCACTTAAATTTATCAAAGACGAGAAAAGCCTCGGTGAATTGTTCTGCGCTCAATGCCAATAAGTGAAGACAAAAGAACCCGAAAGACTGAAAATGAGTTTTCTTTAGCCGGCCGTTAAATATTTTTTTTAATTATTTTCTTTCCGCTAACTTTTTTCCATCTTTTGTTCTAAAATAAGATCAATTGAAACAGAAAACAACTCAAGCAAAAAATCTCTTTGACCCTTTGAAATCTTTTGTAACTCAGCAAAGATTAAAGATAGAAAATTATTTTTTTTATCAGCTTCTTTGTTGTATTTACTTTCATGTAATCACGTCATCGGAGCAGTAATAATTTAATTATTAGCTTTCTAATTATAAAACCTTGAAATTTTTTTTTATTTTTGTCACTGTAAAGTCGATTATTCCAGACAGTATAATTCCGATAATATAATATATAATTTTAATGTTAAAAAATTAATACGATATTTGATTAAATTAAGCAAGGCCCCATCTATTTCATAAATATTTAAATTATGTTATTCATTTCGATTTTTAATTTTTTCATTAAACAAAACTAGCATTATGAAATTTTAAAAATTTATGTGTAAGAAACTTCAATAAAAATTTATATTTTTTTAAAATATATTTTACAAATTATATTTTTTTGACTTTCAAACTATAAAAAAAAAATTACAAAGAAAACTCAATTGCATGTTTCATAACGCGAACTCATTTTTTTTATTTTTTGACTAAAAATTGGTGGAGCCTTACTTTGGCATAATTATAATAAATACAACCAATTTATAATTTTGTTTTCAAAATTTAACACAAAAAAAAGTCAGATATTAAATTAATGTCTTGAAAACAATGAATAAGTTTTTTGTCTATTTTTCATTAGCAAAATAAGAGACTATAGAGCGTTAAGAAGGTATTGCGGCAAGAAAAAGACACCAATAGGTTATGGCTATTGGTTTCTTTCTCACGCGCCAGTGCTGCGTCTCTTTACAGACTATCGCTCACTTATTTCCACTCACGTAAAATATCGAAAGTCATTAACTTCAAACATTTCTTATAAAAAAATGAATACCGCTCGTTTGTGTTATTTTTGATAAAAAATACTTGTTATAACTTCAATTAAATATTCTCAGTTTTTCAAAAAAATCCTAAGAAAAGTATGGTTGTTATTCAATAAAATGTTCATTCTAACTACGGTCAGGATAGGGAATACATGTTAAATGTACGATTTTTAATTGTTAATATTTCGAAAATTAGCACCGCAAGGATTATTAAAAAAAATTTATTCGTATAGAGGACACTTAAAAGTACGCGTATTCAAAAATTGAAGAATATTGTAAGAAAATTGATTTTGCACAGTACCTCTTTTAAGCAGCATAGTTGATTTCAAATCTAATGTTAGCAAGGTACTCGAGTGAAAATGTTAAACTTACATGAGCTTTCATTAAAATTTCAATGACTTAATAAACTTATGTAGACTTAGATCTACTTAAATAACGTTACTTAATAACCCCGTTAATATTATTCATGATTGAACAAATTTGCGGTAAATTTATGTAACCTAAAACGAGGTCAACTAATAAATTTCTAATATAAATTTTTACTATCAAGTAATCGTAAGTAACATAATCTAAATTAAAAGTCACATTTTTCTCACTCACTTAATTATCCCGAGAATTTATATAAAACTTCTATCAACAGTGACAATAGACAAAAAAAAAGAAGTAACTAAAAAACGTAACAAATGCTAGACATTGTTGGAAGATTGGTTTGATAAATGTGTAGAGTACAATATTTTGTGTGTGATTACAGTGCTCACCCGACGAAGAAAGCGGTGGTTAAGCGGCTGGTAAAAGAGGGTCGCCTCGAAATGACCACTGGGGGCTGGGTGATGACGGATGAGGCGACGTCCCATATCTACGCGATGCTCGACCAGCTCATAGAAGGTAACTATAAAAATAAAAAATTTATCTGCATCAATCTGAGATTTAAGAGCCCCATGAATATTACCGCGTGATAAATAATAATAGAGTGTATGAACTATATCACATACCTTGCCCAGAATTGATTTGATTATCAGCTAAATAAAAAATATGGGTTCAGCACTGGGGAAAGAAAAGAATAACGACAACAGGGTGTTATTTTTTTCCTCCTCACATTACACTTTTTTGTTGCTTCTATCGGTTGTTTTATTGTTCACTAGAGTTTTCTATACAGAGTCTACTAGTATTGACATGCCCATAGGAAGAATTGATCGGTTTTGGCATCACGTAAAATTTCCGAGGGTACAAAACGCCCGGATGATCGAACGGTGTTTACCCTGTCACTTGTCAGTGGATAAGCGTAAGCTACAAAAGAAAACTAAGGTAAAGAAAAGAAATAAAAGTTGGTGAAAAACCCACCAGCAAAAAAACCCAAACCAAACAGTTGAAGAGTTGGAAAAATGTAATGCTACATAAAATAAAATATAAAAAAAAAAAAATAATACGTAAACGAGAGTTTACAGTATAGGATAGTACAGTGGTATTATATGTACAACTTCTGAGACCCGTGTCATATATATTTTATCGCGGTGGGTTTATATTGCTAAAAATAAACCTTATTTTCTGCAATGCCGTCGACGCGAAGAAAGATACGGATATATTTTTTATTGTGCTCTCTATAAAGATAAATTGAGGTTGAATGAAGCACTGCAGTTTTATTGATTTCGTCTATTGATCTTGTGAATAGAGTCGATAATATTTTTATTACTATTCATGCTTTATAATAAATCCAATATTTTTCTTTTGTAAATCGATGAAATTCGTTTAGAAGCTATTGTTTAAAATTCTTTTTGAATTTATCTTCATATCATTTTTATTGATTTTTTTTTCTTTATTTGTTTTGTTTCGCATTGTCTGGCTAAAAATGTTTTTAGACTTTCCACTATTTACAATTTAACTATAATATTTACAATAGTAATTATGTAAATTTTAAGAAATAAATTTTTAAATTATAATTTTAGAGTTTTTAATGCTAACATAATTTTTATGTCAACCAAAAATCATTATTAAAATATCGGTGTAGCATTTCTCAGTATTTTTCCTTATTCTAAGATGAAAATTAAAAAAAAAATTCAGACAAAAATTTTCAAAAAAGTCCATTTTTAGTAGATTTCATAGAAATCTAACTATTGCATTGGTCCTCATGACGGAACTTTTGAAAAATTTTGCTATATTTCGACTCAGCTCGTCAAGCGAATTCAGAAAATGCATATGGTTCAAAAGTTGTATATATATATATATATATATATATATATGGGATATAACGCGGCTTGTCAGGACGATAGCGTCGCCAATTTACAACGGATCTCTACCAAACTCAACATACTTATTCTACAGATAAATACCAAAGTCAAGTTCGAAGATGAGCTTGATCGGTCAAGTAATTTAGAAATACGAGGATTTCAAAATTTTGAAAATCATAAAAATTAATATTTCTTCACTTTCTTACTCGAATAACTTTTGAATGGGATAACTTATTAAAATTCTGTAAAATGCATCTGAAAGCTCTTTAAATAAGCTTCAATTTAAGTACCATATCATATCTGAAGTCGTCCAATTTTTCAGAAATGCCAGGATTTAGAAATTTTCAAAATTATAAAAATTCATATTTTTTCACTTTTTAACCCGAATAACTTTGGAATGGGATAACTTATTGAATCTCTATAAATTGCATCTGAAAGCTCTTTAAATAAGCTTCAATTTGAGTACCATATCATGTATCTAGTCTTAAAATTATGTCCTATTCTGCTATACCATTTATGAAATTTGCTATTGCACTGGTTTTAAAATTCTTTTGTCGATACATATTTCTGTCGATTGCATAGAAGTTAAAAACCCTAGTTTTGTATACAATCCTCGTTCTTTTTTTTTTCTATTCATGATGAAATCTACTTCCATTTCGGCTGCCGAATGGTCTTTTTTTATTTTTCACAGATTAAAAAGTAAAAAAGCTTGATTTTTACACCAACAGTTATTGGTTTAGTTTTAAAAATAACGAAAAAAAAAATATCTAAAAATTGCAATTATAACACAAAAAATTATTAGATCAATAAAATAAAATCTCGGCCCCTAACTAGCAGCTGGCAATCTATCCCATCAGTGTAATTGGATGATTCTGGTGCGAAAAAAAAAAATCCAGCTATTCATTAGAAGCCCAATTTTTATAACAAAATTAAAAGTTTATAAAAATCAATATCAGTGTAACAAAGTTTATTAATTCGTCGAGTGAAACGAGGCGAGAACATCGCGAACGTGCTTTTGTACGGTATGGTGCATTGTCAATATTCCATAGAATTTGTTAGTAGGCACAGTAGCTCAAAATCAAACCAAACCAGAGTAGAGAAAACGAGAACAGGGGTGAGAAAACAACCCACCGCTGGGCTCATACCGTCCGTATCGTCTGGGTTTCGCATACATCTGCAATTATAATGTAATCAACCACAGACTTGGGATTATTCTGTTATGTTTCCTATATCCTATACTGTAGAGTAGTCCACGGCAGACAGAGTTGTGCCAATTTTGCAGCGCTATTTGCCAGCCGCCCAATGAGCTGACACGTTCCATCTGGTAGCTTTTGCTCGGATTGGTTTTGTAACACACTTATATATCCGTAATATAAAGTTTTAATTTTTCACCCCGACAAATTTGAAACATTGAAGTTGTCTGTAATAAGATTGAGATAATCTTCATCTCATGTCGAGGTTTTCTCATCAAATTTAATCTTTAATTCTGAAGGGATTAAATGAGAAGCCCGAATACTCTTGGGGTGGATATTTCAGCCTATAAGAGATGGAGATCAAGATTAAGATATAGAGATAAGAGATGAAAGATTCAAATAAAATGTGGTGATGTTAAAATAAGGAGAAATAAAATTTTATATAAAGACATGAAGTTGCACGAGTTGTACGACATTCTGGTGGAAAAAAATCTAAATTTGAAATAAAAAATATATCAAGAGTAAATAAGACTTATTCATAGCGAAAAAGTAAATTCAAGAGCAGAGGAAGAAATTCTGTCTCAATGACAAAATATATCCAGACCCTTCAGAGACTCAACTCATATTGAATGCAATTCAAGACTAATGGTAGTGAATCCAAGACCCCAGACACTCTCTCATCCAATTCTCCCTTCGAGGATGTACTTGGTGTATGCTTCGTTGTGCCTCACGTCGCGCATTCGCCTCATTTGCATCGGAATGGATCTACATTATCCACGTATACTATTTCTGTGAATTTTCTCTTATCTACTCGGCCTATTTTATAAAGTCAAACACACGTCACGTATAGTACACTGTCTGATGGATTTTGCTTGTAATATATCATCATTACACATGTCTTCGTCGGTAAGGAAAAAATAAGATCCCAACAAAACTCGGAATATTTTAACTTACATATGCATGCAAATTTGAAACGGCTACTGAGCCGGAATATACAAATAGTTTTCATGGAAAATCCAATTTTTCCATAATTTCATATTAAATTTATTATATCGAATTATTGTAATGCTCACACAACATACTTATATTTTATATTATCCAAGTTTCGCTCGTATTTGGAAATATTTAATACAGACATTAATATTTTAAGTATTGGGTCTTCATAACTTTAAATTTTAAGCTACTTACAAATATTAATGGTATTATCGTTATATATATAATTCTTCTGTGCGTGTGTTTATTTTATCACTGAACCCCTCCTAATCGGCTGGACCGATTCTAATGAAATTTTTTGTGTGTTTTTCAATGAATTTGAGAATGGTTTAGATTCATAATTCAGTCCACTGGAAAATGTTTAATTTATTAATTTTTTATTTAAAAATTTTTGTTGATTTTGGAATGTTTTACATTGGGTCCGGCTGATAGAGCTACGATCGCAGTGTCGAATATTCAAAAATATTTCATTTTAATTTCAGTGTGCCCCGATAGTAGACATTGCGATCAGATTCAGGAAAATTTTGTGTTATTACACGGAAAGAACAAGATGACACTTGATATCATCCCAGATTATACTCAGTGATATCTGTGGTGAAAAAAATTTCAGATAGTAACTAAAAAAATCCAAATTATACTGAATGATGTCTGGATTATACTTATTGTAATCTGGATTATATTAGCTACTATCTGAAATTTTTTTTCACTCAGTATAATCTGGGATGATATCCAGGATCTTCTTGTTCTTTCCGTGTATGTGAAAAGAAATCACGTGTTAATTTAAATATTACATTGTAATAACGTTTTAATAAAAATTCTTATCAAAACGGTCCAAACTGTTACACCTTATTCAAAAAAGTTTAAAATTTTCGAATTTAAGACTCGTGTACAGGACAACGTCTGTTGGGCCTGCTAGTATAATTATATTCTCATAATTAATCTTGATAATTTTGGTATTGGTATTTTATTAATTCGATAATTGAAATTATATTACGTTTTAATTTTTTTAATGTTTCCATGCAATTCTTTTGTTCTGAAATTTTAAGAAATTTTATTGTAATAAAACTTTTATTGAGTATTGTCAAACTATAAAAAATAATCTTGCCTAGAGGAAACCGATCACAAAAGTGAATAATTAAATCCCGAAAAGGGAATTATGAACCTTTAGAACTTAAAGTGCCTTGCAGCTATTCTTGTAATTTTAATTATTAGAAAATTGAATTTATAAATGAGTGAGCTCGATAAATTAATTAACAATAATTTCTTAAGTTAATTTAAAACAACGTTTATTTTTAAGTAATAAAATTTTGGTTATTGACAACTCGACAGTTCAAAATTAAATAATAAGTAAATAATAAACAAGTTTATTCAACAATACTCTCGAGTACAAAAAATGTACTAATTATTGTAAAAATATCACAATAGGTAATTTTTATAATAAATGTAAATTTAAATTGAAAAATTTTATTAAAACTCGCATATAAAATTTGTTTTTGCTCTTTGGGGTACTGAAAGAACAAGAGAATAATAGTATGCATTTTTAAATACACAATTTTCGAGCAAATGTAGCGGGAGAAAGCTTTTAGCTTACACAACCATTTTTTCATACCTTCGGGATAGGAAGAAAAAGTGGGTATGAAAGATAGAAGATAACGTAAAAAAAAGTTAAATAAGATTAACAAAACTAGAGGAGGGTAAAAAATTAAAATAAATTTTAAAAAGTTGCGTGGAAATGAATGAAGTAGTATTCAATTATTAAAATTCTCGTGGGGCTTAATTAGCCGGGGCTTCTAAGTATGAATTAGAATTTAAAATAAAATTTTCAATTCTCGAGGCGCATTAACTTTTACGAAGGCTGTGGAATAAAAATAATGATAATAATTGTAATAATAGCATTAATTATTTAAAAAATAAACAAACACCTTGGGCTTTTTTTACAACAGTGGCATTAAGTTTTTATTCAGGCGAGCACTTGCATTATTTTTTTATCTTACGCGTACTTCCAACAAATTAAACACAATTATTAATTCTCGTGTTCACCGAACAAATTAAACGCGACTAATTATCCGTAAGAAAGTTCAGAATTAAAAAAATCTAAAATATAAGGGATGAAATAAAAAGCTTTTTCCAATTCTTCCTTACCCCAAACCCGAGTTAATTAACTACAAGTACATTTTTCATTTGTCTTCCGAGAACATTCTTTCTCGCCTTTACTATTTTTATTTTACGTTTTTTTTTCTTTCAACCTATTTTATTTTATTTCCTTCTGTACTTCCCTGTCTTGTTTCGGAAAAAAGAAAAACGAAGTATAAATCCCAGCGACATAGCACTAGCGAGTGTCATTACGTTCGGCTGCCTTGTCTGACGATAAAATTTATCACTACTGAATCTCCAGCAATTTATTTTTAGCTTTAATTAATTTTATATAAAAGGTGTAATTAAGGAAAATAATAAACTGTCCAATGTTCAGGGGATTTATTTATCGTTAAAATTTATTTTCTAGTTTTTTAAGACAAAATTTATTGCAAATATTAATTTTGGATAGGAAAAATATAACAAATGGTTGATCCCGAAGATTTTCTTTGAAACTTTTTGCTTTTTTTTGGAGCTCAAAACTCGAAAATTTATAAATTAGTTGATTTTTTTACTTTTTGAGTTCAAAAATTTGAACATTGTTTTTTTAACTAAGTCTGAATTAAATAATCTAAAATTTTAGATGTTATCTCACAAAAACTGAAAAAAATTTATTTTTGTTTTTTTATTTTTTGAATATCTTTAAAATGAATAGCTTTTTAGGACATCAAAAGTACACTGAAAAATTTTTTCCTCCTGTTAAGAAACCGGTATACCTGTGTGGATAATACCAAATTTTTTTTCTACACTAATAAGTATAGTGATTTTTAAAAAACTCGGTTCCTCCTCAGCAAAATATCAAAATAAAAATATGGCCGACTTAACCTCATTTGACACGAATTCATATGATATGTTTATGATACGGTGGATCTTTTTTATTATAATTAAAAAATTAATAATTATTAATTTATCAATTATAATTAAATTTAAAAATTAAATTATAATAATTAAAATTAAGAATGACACTGATGTTGACAGACATTAAAAATTTTTTTAGAATTTTATGGCAATTAAATTATTGTAAAAAAAAAATTTTATTGAAAAATTCCACATGTGAAAATTAATAAAAATTACACGTGAAAATTTTTTAGTAGCATTATTTTATGATAATTGATTTGTTATAAAAATTTTTAAAATTGACAGCTCTTCAGCATCATATTTAAGAAAATTAAATTAATTATAATAATTCAATTTAAGAAAATTAAAGTAATTATAATTCAATTAAAATAAATTAAATTATTGAAGAATTGAATTTTTTGTTAATTTCAACGGCTTGATTTCTATTTTTATTTTATTGAATCGAATTTGTACAATGAATAACTTTTAAAAAGATCAATTAAAAAAGACAGTTACCTTCAAAGATTTTTTTTAGAAATGATAAATTCCATTTGAGCAACTTTTTTCGTACCCAAGAATCCATCCAAATTTTCATATCAATTGTAATACAGCTTGGTAATTATTCAATAAATAATAAATTAGTATATACAACTTTCCAATGATGTGAGCAAACACGCCAGGACTGTGAAATTGGAGGGAAATCAGAGAATTGGCGGCGCCACCGCTGCGGTTGCTATGATAACGCAGCGTAAAGATTTAGCTCCAGAAAAAAACTTAGGTATTCTCAGACGAAAAATACCAGTTTTTTTCTATTAAGAAAACGTCTATTGGATATAAAAAAACTTGGATAAAAATACTTTGGATTCTGGGTGGAAAAAAACTTTTTTTCCAGAGTAGAGATTTGATAAAAATTCGACTATCCAGAACCAATAACTTCCTAATTAAAAAAAAAAAGATTAATTTTCAAAGTATGGATAGTTAAAAATGATGCAATATTAACAGATAAAATTTTAATAAAAGTTTTAGCTTAAATTCGTTAAAGTATGGTGGAATACTTATTCTGAATAAATTACTGGATACATAAATCATATTATAATATTTTTTTTTCCATACTTAAGAGTTTAAATTTTTCGGCGATCTATGGCAGCTCTTGAATATTTCATAAGATCTAAGGCCAGATTCTACACTAATTGGATTTCCGTAGCCAGTATCGTCGATAGTACCAATTTCGAAGCTTTTGATCACCAGAATCTCATAAATTTATCCACCTACACACCTATACACTACATACACAAGTTTTGATGTTGTATACACAAGTGTATGTGTGAATTCAGACAGTTTAAAAAAAATACTAGTGAAGGAAGGATAGTCTAAGTTCTACAAGTGAAAAAAGTAAAAAATAATAAAAGGAAAACTCGTAAGTTAAAAATAAAACATAAGAAAAAGTAAATAACATTTAGTGTATGGAAGATTGTAGTTTCTAAACTGACCTAGTGGAAATGTGTTATGTTACTCTCCAGAGTACTTACATGCCCTGAAGACTTGAAAAAGTAGAGATCGAATAGAAATAAAAGGGAGCTGAGAAATCGGTCAAGTTTTATCCAGTGATTTCCAACGTGTATTTAATCAATTTTAAATTTCCACCATTTCCAACTTTGTTTTATTTCTTTAAAACAATTCGACTAGACGTTAAATAAATCTATTGAAACTTGTTGATAAATGGAAATTAAATAAAAGTAAGCAGTAGCTGAGTACAATTGTTGAGACTAAAAATGTTAAGCAAAGATAATAAAAGACGTTTGAACAATTTGAAAAGAGCTTGTCAAATTAATATGCTTTTGCTTTATAGTTTTCCATGAATAAATTACAACTCGAAAAAGTGAGTGAAGAGCGTGAGCGACGATAGATAAAATTTATAAAAAAGTTTGAATATTTAATCTCGAGATTCATTTTCCTGCGCTTTATACTCGTTCCACATTTATTATTTTATTTTTATTCTGTTAAATCTTTATTTAAATTAAAGTCTATTTCACTCTCCATAATGATTACCCATTAATTTATTTTAATATTGAAGAAAAAAGCTCCGTTAGCTAATAATAGATGTCTTGGACAATGGAATGACAATAGAGTGTCGTAATATAGTAGTGTAGCCTTGGAATAACCGCAGTAGGCAGTGCTATTAGGCAGGAACACCCCTGTTCGTGACCACGGTATTCACCAGTAACTGGAACCTGTACAGGGATTAGCATAATTTAGCCAGCTGCGTAACTATGGAATGTAATGTACGGCATTCTGACATTGCCTGTAGTACTCCATGTGCGTTGATTACACCTCCTCTATTAACAAATCTCCCGGTCAACCAAAATTAATTTATCCCCTTTATTATAGAATTAATTACTGGCTATACTATTCAATTTATATATCACCATCATTATCATGTTTTAGTAATAATAATTAGAATAATTATCATTATTTATAATTAATATTGTTCTGATTGTAACAATAAACAATTTTTGTTAATGGGAAACACATGAATTGATGCAATCATAAAAAAATTGCATGCTTCAGTCGGGAATACCGACACGAAAAGAAATTACCGTAAAATCATAGTAATCG